TCCTATAAAAAATAACACTTTTTTTCTCCACAGCATGTCGTTGTTACCCGTATTTATTGTTATTATTAGCATATTGACATTACCATTATCATTATCAATGTTGTTATCACTACCATCAACTTTATCTCTTATCGTCATCATCACTACGGTCTACCATCATCATGACCGCTAAACATCACTGCTGTTTGCCAATATCACAGTTGCTGTCAAAACTACTATATCATTTTCATTATCAGCACCACCATAACGATGCGCATGCGTACGTGTATGCGCGCTGTGTGCCGCTTCTCAAGTGGATTTTCGAAGAATGCCACGCCCTCGTTGCTCGTTTATTCGTCAGATGGGGTAGGGTGGTTGCTGTGCTGTACTCTCTCTCACCCCCCAATCCAGCAGCACTTCTCTCTCTGCACTGATGAAGCAAGCGTTTTTCGATGTTGGATTGTGGGTTTGTCCGGTTACGAGGTGCGAGTGCGTGGGGCGACATCGCGAGGGGATGGGTAACCGGAGCGGCGGAGGGGAAAGGGTCCGGCGTGGCGGGCGGCTCTGCTGCGACTCATCAATTTCGTTTGAAATTTTTAAAATGTAAAGTGCTTCTTCAGGTGAACAACGAGTAGTTCCGAGCAAGTGGGGAACTCTTTTGGCGCACCAACGATTAATTGTACTTTTTGGTACTGTATGTTCAAGCACAGCAACAAAGTGTTGGCGCTGATGCGTTGCCAGAATTCGACCGTCCTCTTGCACTGATCCCGAAAAACTCGGCATTCACCCCCTTGCAGCTCATATTCCAGCCGCCGACATTTTATCGCCTGGAGAATCTGCCAGTGGCTGCCGGCCGATACCTGAAAATGGCATCTTCAGAGCAGTTTGCAACAGAGATCTCAAACTACTATTACGATCAGCAGCAACAGAATCCAGCACCTAGAGCAAGTGCTAATTCCGGAGCTGCACCAGCTGCCCCTCCTCCCGGTTCATCGTACTACTCGAGTAGTCAGTACAGTACACCCGATTCCAGCCAGCATGATCCGGTTGGTGTTACTTTGCTTTGCGCTCTCCTTACAGCTTCTCGTTTTGCCGGGTAATTTTCAAGAATGACTTTTGATGAGAAATATGAAAATGTTGTTGGGATACAGCAACCGTTCCCGACAACTGGCAGACACCAGCATTCTGTGCTCTCAAATCCAGTCGTGTATAATTTAAAAAAAAGTGGTAGACAACATGTAAGAATGATATGTAATTAAGAAAATTCTAAATGAAAGGCGAAAGAAAGATCGAAAAGAGCAATAAAATTAAATTCTTTATAAATTGAAAATATATAGTTACTGTGTATATGGTGTTTCTGCTGCAGAGTTCTGATTAGGCGTTTTACCTTCAGTGGAGAAGCTAAAAGCTAATACCGAGATTGTCCGATCTACTGATTTTGCTAGAACACAGCCGAATGTCAGTGGTGGCTATGCTGAGCACTATTATCTGCCCTCAACACTCAACAATAATTGTCCTCTTGCTCAGACTTAAAACTGTAGGTATATTCAGGGAAAGAGTAATACGTTTTTTTTTTTTTT